TTGACCTCATTTTTACTGTCCTGTGTAGGCCTATCCTACCCTAGTTTTTTTCCCTGTGCAGTAAATGATGAAATGATCACTAAGACCTGTTAATGACGCCTGACGACAAAGTTCTCAGAGGGGTTACAAAGTATGTGGTAAATTAGGGGGGGCTGAGAATGTGTGTCCGGGTTGGAGTTTTTAATTAGTTGAGGTAATATTTAATCCTAGAATTGTTTAAACCTTTTTGCATACCCCCGTTAATTTTGCTGCTGAAACAAATTAAATCGCCCCCCAGTTTATTGTCTCGAAATTTTGTTTCAACTCCGGACAAACTCGGGAAAAGTCTTCTAAGAACTGGTCCCTGGGTAGGGGGGCGGTAACTGTTCCATAAGTGGGTTTTTGGTTTTGGGAAGCAGCATTTCAAACCATAGAATCCCGTTTATTGTTATTTAAATCAGGTTTTGGGGTTTTGAAAACTAAGTCATTTCAAATGTAGGCACATACCCACCCCCCCTTTCGTTCCTACTAACGTTTTATATTGTAACCATTATTTGACCCGTCGCAGTCACGGTATCACCCAAACCCAAGTTTCAGAGATGGTTAAAACTGCCGCCCAAATTTTTTTTGCTAAAAATCCTAATTCTCCCAATTTTTGGGAAGAAGTGATCTTCATTGACATGAATAAAGTGAAGGCCTTTTTTTTCAAAAAACAATCTAATCTAATAATGGAAAGGGTATTTGTTTTAAAAATTGGGTAAATCAATGCATCATGCAAGGGTAATGTGCCAAAGTGCATTTTTTACACACAAAATAAATTCTGGCACCTTTGCTATAATTGAATACATCCATCATGCACCCACCCTTAAAACCCATTTACATTTTGGGGCCCTTTTTCTGTTTTTTCATCGTACTTTATACAGTGTTGCACCTGTTTGGTGTGTTTGAGATAATAATGGCTTATTGCCACATTGACCTATGTTTTGACCTGCATTTGTTGGGATTGATTAACCAGTCTTGCGGTTTGTCCAATCTATTTGTAGCATTTCCTTGTTTCACTTGTTTCTTTTTTCATCAATTTTACATTAGGAAAAGGATAAACGATTCAGCCCCATGTGAAGTTGTGAAGAGAGAGAGAGAGGAGAGAGAGGAGAGAGAAGAGAGAGAGGAGAGAGAGAGAGGAGAAAAGATTTTTTTTTTGGTTGTAAAAAACCAAAAGAGTATAAAATCTCAACACGACCTGGCCTGCCGCCAGTGTGGTCTTATCGCCACGACCGCTTGGTCTTGTACCCCCGGGTTAGTGAGTTTGGAGACCGGGTATAGTGTGGTTTTGGGGACGGGTGTAGTGTGGTCTTGGGCCAATGTAGTCGGGTCTGGGACCGGGTGTAAAGGGTTTCTTGAATCGGAAAAGGGGCCTTGAGCCCCATTTTGTAGTATGGTCTTAGGACCAGGAATATGTAGTCTTGGAGACCGGGGTATAGGGGGCTTGGAGACCAGGATATAGTATGGTCTTTTGACCGGGTATAGTGTGGTCTTGGGACCGGTGTGATGTGCTGACGACCAGTTATAACCTACAATGTACGTTTCCCCGCTTCGTCCCCCTGAACTTACAATTTACTGTTTCCCGGGGGTCATTGATCTTCCACTAAAGAGGGCCAAAGTTCGTGTTTCTCCTCTGTATTGACGATCCCCCATTTATTTAGTTTTTTCATTTCCCCCCCCCTTTTTTTTTCAACACTTCCACTCAAGTTCTTTGTCAACAACACGAAACAGCTTTTCCACATAACAAGAAATTGCACCACAGTTTTTTCCCTTTAAATATTTTCGTTTCCTTTACATCTTATTCATTTCTCAACTACCCTCCGTTGATGTTTGAATTTCAACACAAGGCCTAGACTATCATTTTAACTAACTCCGCCCGTGGGTTTTTTTGCATCTTGTTTCGCTTATGTAATGATAATATATATAAAATTAAAATTTTTTAAAATATATATAAAAAATTTATAATTTTATATATATATTATATTTAAAAATTTTTTATTTAAAAATTTCAAGTCGGGGGGGCCCTCTCCCCCGAGGGGGTGACCAAAAAGAAAGATAACCCCCCCAAAAAAACTTTCATCATCAAACAAAATTTTCACCTCCTAAAACATAATCCTGTTTTTCAGAGGTCCAGAACTCAACAGTTTAGAAGCAATAGGTAAAAGATACACAACAACCCACCAAACTGCCAATATCCCAAAAACCCCCCTTTAGAGGAGGCATTTACTTTCCCCTTTCCAGGATCAATCCGGTTTTAAAAAAAAATAACCCGGGTTTCCCCCGAATCCCTTTACTAAAATTCCCGCTCACACTTCAACAGCTCGTCAGGTCCCAAATACCATTCGTCTCCCTTCACTCCAACACGCCAAGCACCTTGCTAAAGTCCAAGCCCCCGCCCCAAACCTCCTTTAACCCCCCCCCTCCAACCTTTTTGAGGAACCCTTACCCCCACCTTTTCTTCCCCTACAGATTTTAAAACTCTCCCCTTCATTCTGCTTTTATCCATTCTCTCTAATTTGGGCCAAAACCACCTCAACAACCCCCCCTTTAAAACCCCCTGTAATACTTTTAGTAACTCCACCCTTTTCCAATTTTCCCCATCCGAATTTTCTGATAAAATTTACACCCCCATTGCCCTTAGGACACACTGCCCCAACCGTCCCTCGCGCTGCATTTTTCCACCCAAGCTTCACACCCCTAAAAAGTGTTGGCACTACTATCTTTCATACTTCCCTCTTTGCCCCTACATTTTTTTGTCTCCACATATACCCCAAAAGCCCATACCTTTTTTCCCTCACAATTCTATGATTAACCTATCCTTATAAATCCATCTGCTGGCACGTCAACTCCCCAAAATTGAAAAATACACTTTTTCCTACTCCTCCCCCCAATTTGATATCCAATTTTTTTTTTATATAAATCATTTGATACCCTCATCACCTTTTTTTTTCTATTTCACTTTCAACTTTCTACCTTTAACACATTTTCAAACTCATCCATAACCTTTTAATTTTTCTTTAGAATCTCCCATAAGCCAGTATCATCAACAAAAAGCAGCTGTGCTTCCCATTTTTTTATTTTATTCCCCATAATTTTAAACCCACCCCTCTCCCGAACACCCCACATTTACTTCTTTTACAACCCCATCTTTTAAAAATTTTTAAAAAACCATGGTGAATTTCACATCCCCGTCTAAAACCTACTTTTAAACCGGGGAAATTCTCCCTCTTCTAACCCCTAACCTGGCCTCACTACCTCATAAAAACTCTTTACAGCATTTGTAAATTACCACCTATTCCCTATACTTGCAACATCTGCCACATTGCTACCCTTCCACTCTACATATGCCTTTTTTAAATCCCATAAAAACAATAAAAAATTTCCCCCCTTTTTCTAAATATGTTACATACAGCTTTAAGAAACCTTTATATATATATATTATATATATTATTTTTATTATATATATATTATATAAATATAATATATATATATAATATATATAATATATTATATATATATGCAAAACAACCCTCTGAAAAAAAGAAGAATTTCCCAACGCTTCGTATACTCCATTATCAAGGAACTTGAAAATAAAGCATCCAAGGGAAAGGGATAAAAAGGGGGCTGGCCAACACCCCACTATCAGACCCCCCAAAGGTTAAACACCTGACGCCGCCCGGCCCAACGGGCAGGTCCTTTGCACAACCACCAAAAAAACATTTTACCCAAAAAATTTTTAAAATTTTTATTTGCCAGTGTATTTTAAATTTTTCCCAAATTCTATTAATTATAAAAGACTAATTTTATAAACCAAAGGAAAAATTTTATTTATTGTCAAAACTGCTTTTTAGAAAAAAATTCAAATTTTAATTCCCGTCGCCATGGACTTGCTTTATATACTTTCCAACTTTTTTGAAAATCAATTGGATGGGTTAAAAAAAAAAAAAAAGGGAAAAAAAAGGAAAAAAAAAGAAAAAAAAAAAAAAGAAAAAAAAAAAAAAAAAACCAAAAAAAACAAAAAAAAATACATTAAGCGCCCAAACCCCCTGCCTTTTACAAAGAGCCACCCTTTTTAAAAATGAAAATAATAAGAAGCCCAAAAAAAATTGAATCTTTTTTTTCCCGTTTTCTAATGAAAAAATTTTTGGTTTAATAAATTGAATTTTTAAAGTTTTTTGGAAAATTTAATTTAAAATGGCTAAAAAATTTTTTTAAACTTTTCAAAGTTTGTTGGTTGGTTTGGGGAAGACTTTAGTTTGGGCGGGGCCCGTTTCCCGCTCATTTTTTCTGTAAAAAGGATTTTACCCCAAAAACCCCTTTTTATTTTCCAAAGTTTTTATAAGTGGATTTGGGGCAAGTCCCTGTTTTTGACCCCGAAAAAATAATTAATTTTTTATAAAAAAATTTTTAAATAATTTTTAATATTTTTTTTTATATAAATTTTAAAAAATTTTATAATTAATAAATTTAATAATTTAAATTTTTAATTTTTAAAATTGACAAAAAAAAAATTAAAAATTTTTATTCTTGGGGAGGAATTTAGGTTGGGTGGGGTGGGCCCCGTCCTTAGTTCGTTTCCGGGTCTTCCTTTTTTGCGAGGTGTTGGGACTTGTGGGGGGGGCTTCCCCCCCAAAACCCTCTTTTAAATTTGGGGGTTTATTTTTATTTTCCTTTTTTTTGTGGGGAAATTTTTTTTTTGATTTTCGGGAAAATTTTTTTCTCTCTTTTTATGGGGGGGAAAAAAAAATTTTTAAGGGGTAATATTTTTTTAATTAAATTTTTTACATATTTTTATTTTAATTATTTTTTATTTAAAAAAATTTAATTTAAAAATTTTTTTTTTCCCCCTTTTCATTTGGGCTAAAATGGTTTTAAACTAGAAGGCGATATACTTGGGAAATCCCTGGGGAGGGGGTTCCCCCCGGGAGGCCGGTTGCGTCAAAGTCGGCTGGTAGTTTCGGGTCCTTTTCATGACTAACTTCCGGAACGAGGTTCCGCTTGCTCCTCTGTTTTTAATTGGGGGTGGAGAGGGAGACGACGGGGGTTTGGGGGCTGAAAAACTCTTGGGGGGTTATAGCCTGGATTTTTTGCCGTTGGACTGGAAGGTATAGAGAGGGGAGATAGTGGCGTGTTCGGTGGCGGGGATAAAACAGTATTCAGTGGATTAGGGTCACTACCGAGGGGAGCGACATTGTAGAAGACGTCTGTGTGTGTCTGCTGCGGAGACAAGAGGTTAGTAATAGTGGTGGCCAGGGTAGGCATGGAGTAGCTTGTTGGGATGATGGGTATGAGGGGATTCGGCAAACCTGGGGGCATCGCCACTTTGTCTGTAAATGCAAAATGAGGATTGATCGTGCCGTAGCCGCCCTCGGAGCTGTAGTTTCCTGTAGGTTTGAGCATTGTGTCCTCACTTGAGGCAGGTGCTCCTTCAGAAGGTGAAGCCATGGCGGATCGACGAGTCTTTTTCCTTTTCGGAGTCAAAACAAGCAGGTAGTGGTCACCTGGGCAAGGCTGAGGACTCTTCGTGGGTCTGACCTTACTCATGGTTGTCTACCTTAGTATGATTATGTCCCATTCTACCATATTCTTAGGGTAAAAGTTTTGACACATTGTTGTGTCTTCTCCAGAACGTGTCATTCAGTTTTACTTGGAAAATTACCACCAGATTCAGTGTTTCAGTTGAATACCAGACGTCCAGTGTTCCAAGGTGGGATCTTGGAGAACCTGAGCAGATTATAAAGAGTGAGACTAACAGTAGCAAGGATTTCTACCTTCTCGAATATATACATCAAGGCAAACATTTGTAAACAGTATCACACTACACGTTTGCAAACAATATATCACAACGCACGTTAATAAATGTTGACACCGGTAACACGGCTGAGAGAACACTTTGTAGAGTAAAAAGTCACAGTACCGTAAGTGGAACAATACACAAATAACCCGAACATACGAGAGAGAAGCTTATGACGACATTTCGGTCCGATTGGGACCATTTACAAAGTCACACTAACACAAAAGAGTGAGGGAGAAAGTAAATATAGGCGAGGGGGGACAGGGACAGGACCAAGAGAGGAAGAAAAATAAATAATTGTATTGGTAATGCTGGTAGTGGAAGTAGAAGTAGAAAGTAGGGAGAGTAGTTTTAATGGCACAAGAGACAGAAAGGGGAGTGAAGGGTGAAGGGAGGCACTTGTTTACCTCACCGACTAATCCTACAACTAGCAGGCCAGTGCTCTAACCACTAAACCACGCTCACCTGGTGAGCTTCATTCTCCTAGGTTATTTATCCAAGCTATTCTGATAAAATAATATATTTTTGCAAATATAATATTTCCATAGATCTACATTACCCCAAGTGGTTCATTTCACAAGATCAGTAAGTTGCAACGTTGTCTTACTTTGCAAGACAACGTTGTTGTATAATGACAGATAAAAAAAATAAAAGACTATTATTTTCAAGGAATCCCAAGACTAAGTAATCCCAGGGCCTAGTAGTTCCCGGATTAAGTAATATCAAGGTCTAGTAATCCCAGGGTTAAGTAATCCCATTGTCGACTAAGATACAGGTTG